GTTGCATTAGATTTAGAGGTCCGGTAAACGTAGCAATACCACAGTATAAAAGTACTGTGTTACAGGTCAAATGTAAAAGTACAAAAGTATTGGCAACAACAGTGCCTCAACCCTGGAAATGAGTCAGCATTTTTTTTCACTTCCCGCTCCCTCGTCGAGAATGAGATGTGTTTTTTTTGTTTCGATGTCTGAAATAAAGTCTGTGTTTAACACAAGTTGAAGAGATCTTAACAGTATGTTGTCCGATATAAAACAGGTCAGTGAACGCCCCTCTGGTGAATCTTCAAAAGAGTGTAAATGAGACGACTAAGCATCCTCACTGGAGCACTAGTGGAGACGTGAAGTCATGTGACCGTGGTGTCCCTTTATAGACTAACATTGGCTTTTTACTTTACACTTCAAACATCATAAAAGTGGTGTTTATTAGTGAAGATTATCTTGATGAACAAAACGTGTAAAAACCATAAACGTTTGTTTACCAAAAAATATTTTCTACAATAATCCAAAATCCAATGGAAGAATCTCATTGAATCTCAGTTAACTTCCTGTTAGACGACAAAAATACCATTGTGTCCGTCTCGTGATGCAATGGGGCCCAAAATGACATTTTTACCATTGACTTACATTGGGAAAGAGACGTCTGTAACTCAATTGACAATTTTTTTTGAGGTGATTCAACTTTCCTGTAAGAACACTTGAATAGGCGTTATTTAAATCATTATGTTATTTTCCTTCCTTCATAATCAGTCATTAACACTGATTCACCAGATGTTGTAATGTTCTGATGGTTTCATTGATGCCTGTGCTGTGATTGTAATGCTGGAAAATGAGCCGACTGTGGAGGCGACTGGGCGTCTTAGCCTCCCAGACCTGCACATGTTTTTTTCACGTTCCTTCAGAGTTTTTTTAAGGACTTATTTAGACATTTAACGATCCATGGAACCAAACCACACACACATTTGTTTTTGGAGTTGCATGAAAGTACAACCTTCTTCTGGGATGTTATACCTTCTGTTCAGTATGAGGTTACAAAAAGCCGCCAATCTGGTCCCGTTTCATACCTGAGACATATGAAACTGGGACCAAGACTTGGTCCAGATTCTCCTCGCTAAGAACTGGCTCAAGAAAACAATGGCTGACCATAATAGTTGCAATCAAATTGATGGAGAATCGGTTACAAATTCAGGAAGATTATACAGTATAGCAAAAAGGCTGGGGAGAATAGTTAAGATATACATTTCTAAAAAAGGCATCATGTTGTCCTCTCTGTTCACCTTTAATTGTGTTTTGTTTCCTTTTTTTACCCTTTGTATTTATACCCTCTGTTTTTATATAGAAACAATGATGACGTAAAAGACAAAAAGCTCTGAGTTCATGAGGAGAGAGTCAGATTAGATTTGGGTTAGTGCGCAGGGCGGGGCGTCGGGATAATCCCGTCGTTGTTCAGCCGTCCTCTCAGCCAGGATGACCTTCCACAGCACAGACAGGACATTTGAATCTGCGGTCCTGTTAATATTCTCTCTGAGTCACCACAGACCAGCGACGCTGAGCCAGTTCATCCAATCAGACCGCAGCACTTTGTCCCTGAACAGCCTCTTACCTGCTGAAACACTTTCTCCTACACAGAACTGTTTGTGCCAGATGAACTGATAATCTGACCTGCTGACTCTTAGATTATTCTCTTGAGAAAACAGCAGGTGATGCACAACCCACTGCACTAACAGATCTTCAATCAGAGGCAACAATGGCTGTCAAATAGTATCTTCAGGCCGCAGTTTAAAGATGCGTTATATCTCTGACTTGTGTTTCTGTAAAGATCTTATTCAAATTGACTTTACTATTCAAGTAAAGAGTCAAATTGGATTAAAAGAACAAGAAGCGATGAGTGAAAACAACTGCAGAGAACGAGGGACGACGACACGTCACGTTTGTTTGCCTGCAGAGAAACTGCTTCAGCAGGATGAGTTGTTTTAAGGACGACACGTCGCTTTACATGCCTGTGCCAAGATCTTATGTTAATTCTCCAGAAGGCCGCACAGTGGGTCCAGGTTCACTTTCTAGGAAACCGAGCAACAAACAAGAGGTTAAATAAGAGGAAGCGTCGGTGGCGACTGAGCTAAGAGGCTCACACACCCTAACGCGGCACGTTCACAGGAGGCGCAGAACGTAACCCTCACAGCTAGAAACACACTGTCACACAATATATTCAAGGTTTTTTGGGGGGTATTTGTACAGATTATAAAGCATTTGGATATTTGTAGCGTAAATACGTCTTTCTCCAGAGCAGACATGAAATAAATAGACATAAAGTGACAAATGTTGCAGGACCAAGAACAACAACACTATCCTTAATCTCACTTTGGATTATTCCCTCCCCTGTGATAAACACGTGTTGCTCTGAGCGGCATTCCTGGGGGCCCCTTTCACTCAGATAATTACTGCTGCATTGTGGGAGAGGAAGACGTGCCAAAGGGGACAAACAAAAAAGCAAATAAGCGGATGCAAATAGCCGCTTGAGTGAAAGCGCTCAATCTATGGTTTCAATAGGCTTGCGCAATAACAGTTGGCTGAAATCCAAGCTTGTTTACAAAAAAAAAGCGGACAGGAAAAATGATCTATTCATTAGTCCTGTTGGACTCTTCCTGAGCGGAACAAAGGGGTAACGGTATGTGACCAGCATTGTTTGGGTTTTTTTAAACCCGTTTTAGAAAAAAAACAAAAAGCTGAGTGTAAATGATGTACAAAGAAATAAGAGTTGTTCTTCCTATAGAAACACGATGAAGTCATTCATAACTGCAGCATGACTGAGGGCACAATTTGCTCATATTCTGAAGAATTAGACTGAGAAAAGAGTCTGAATAGACAGAAATGGTTAAAATAGACAAAATGAGAAAGAAAGCAAAGAATAACCAACAGAAACTAAACAAAACTCAAAAGTCTGCTCTCAGAGGTGCGTCTGCAACGACCACTGCATTGTTTGATTGAATGAATACATTGCATGATCCTCCTGGTGTAGACAGAAAAAAACATACAAATATATTATTGTTATTAAAAATATGCAAATCAACTGTTGTTTCTAATGGTGGTCATGTACACAATGTGTGTATGAGTCCTTATATTTAACTGAGAGGAGGGACAGGAGAGAGAGAAACTTGGGCAAATAATAATAATACAACATGATGATGATTATATATATATATATATATATATATATATATATATATGAGTTTTGTGCAGTAGTATTCTTTTCTTCAAGATATTACTTTAAGATATCATAGACCTTTTTTCCGGTAAACCCTTTCACATTCATACCTTTTTGTGTGATTGCCTCAGTTAGTTTTGCTTATCTTTTTTTACAGATATCTGTCGTGCTTTTATTTTCTCAGCATCGTTCTCCATAAAACACACCTGTGGCATCCTGCAGAGTCTCTACCTGAGTCCGAAGCCAGCGTCTGGACATCACGCCGTCAGTATATCTCCCAAAGCGGTGTCTCCTCTCGAGCGCACGCATCTCCTGAAGGATGAAACCAGCAAAACCCAGCTGGTTTCTCTTTCCTTTAATCAGATTATTGGTGGGTGGGCTGAAGAGTCTGGAAACTCAGCAAATCCGTAGCAGTGGTCGAAGGGCTATTTGCATGAAAGCACAAGTAAACCTCTTATAGCAGACAGGAATAGCACGAGGAGGAGCACTGGAGTGATTTAGTAATCCGGACAATTAAACAATCACACGATAACACACTCATTGTCTTCTTCTCATCTTCTCCAAGACAATAACAAGATAGCAGGTAAATCAGACGTATTAATACATTTTATATCTGATTTTTAATATTTGATCAAATCAGAAATAAAGGCCTTGACTTTCAAGTGGAAAGGGACAACCTTTCAACTTTCCAAGTGATGTTATTATTGCTTTCCGTCTTTCTCAGAACGAAACAACCACCAACAACACACTATTTTATTTTGAAGTTCACTCCTCGTGTTTGACATGTTTGGTTTTACTTCCTGTTTTCTGTTTTCTCGCCTTTCTGAGTGCCTGCCCTGATCAGTTTCACCTGTCCCTCATTAGACCTGCACTGCACTATTTATACCGTCTTAGTTCCTGTTGTGGGTTTGTCATCATTGCTGTTTTCTCTCCTGTTACCTGTTAATATGATATGATATCTATCTACCTGCCCACCTTTGGACTCACTGCCTTTATTCTTTGTGTAAGAAACCGTTGAACATCATGAGTCTGTCTGTCCTCATCTGCGTTTGGGTCCTTCCCCTGCTGCCTCCTCTCCTAAACCACACTATCATCATTTATTTAATAATGGCAAATTAAAGCAAAAAAAAATGAAAATGATGACAATGAATTAACAAAATGTTTGTTGTTTAGACTAAAGTTTATCATTTTATGGTTTGATCGCCATTCTAAGTTACAAAATGCATCTTAATGCCCAGGAAATACCTCACTTCACACAGTCCAATTTTGTGTATTTTCTCCAAAATGTGTTGTGTAGGTGCAGCCACAATAAGTTGTGGGTAAACATGTCAGACGCATTAAAACACTTCTCCTGCAAAGTAAACTCTTGTATAGGATATTATTGTGTCTTTTGGATTTTCAGTACATTCTCTACAGATGCAAACACATGCCTGCTTTGTATTTTCATGCAAAACAAGTTCAACGAGTTTAATTCCAGTATGGCATGAAAATTAACTTGCAGAATATTTATAATTTATTTGCTTTTAAGACAAAGATACACAAGGCTGGATCGCCAACGCAGACACCAGAGCTCCAAGTTCACTGTGTGTCAATTGGTTTGTGGTAATTTGATTAATTGTCAATTTGTTTTTGGAGTTTACATCATAGTGCAACATCAACTATGGCAGGTCCTTCATTATTACTTCTAATTTAGCGGCACTGTCTTGTAAAGGGGCCCTGTGTTGAAATTTGCTCTGAACACCTTCATTATTTCAGTCTATATTTTGCACACATGCTGGATTCCTTAATAAAGTTGCATTTAATCAAATCACCATAAACCAATTGACACACAGTGAACTCGGGGCTCTGAGGGCAGCTGCCTGCTTTGGTGATCCAGGCTTGTGTACCTGTGACAACAAAAATTGTCACGCAGAAGTGTATTGTGCAGAGTGGGGTGGATGTAACAAATTACGTTCATTTTTTTAAATCATAAGTATTGTACTTTTCTACATTTCAAGTTGCATCAGTGTAAAAACAAAAGTCAATATAGGGTGGTATTTTTTTAAATTAATATACAGTATATATTGTTTTGGGGGGAAGATTGTAATTCTATTGGCTGATCCACACTCCGGAGCAAAAGGTGGCGGTAATGCGCCAATAAGATGGATGCCAACCGCCGTAAAAATAGAAGAAGAAGAAGGTACCACCTTGTTTTCCCTCCGACGTTTAACGGAACCTTTCTTTTTTGTTCCGGGCCTCACTGGAGCAAACATGGCGGCCGAGGGAGATGTCGATTTGGACCTTGAAGCTGACGAAAACTGCACGGGAAAACCGGCGGAGAAGCCTCGGAAACATGACAGCGGAGCCGCGGACTTGGAGAGAGTCACGGATTACGCGGAGGAGAAGGAAATATCCAGCTCCGACTTAGAAACGGTGAGAGCTCCGGGCTAACGTTAGCCGGGAAACATGCGGCCACTGCCGGTTATGTTAACTTCCGGTACATCATCACCGATACAGAGCCATGTGAAATACACAAGAAGTATTTGTTTAGATTTTTTTTTTTTTATAATACAATGATATTATATGCTCTATAATTGTGCCGTAAACGATTATCTTAGTGGCTCGTAGCTAGCTGGCTAACGTAAAGCTACTTTCCCCACTTTGCATCACTGTCGTAAACTTCACCAGCGCAACACCAGAGCGTTAAACAGGTAGAATATAGCAATGCCATATACAAGTTAACCAACAAACAACTGGAAATGGATAAATACATTACAAATTTAATATGTATTGTTGGTTGGTTAAAACGGATTAAAGTGTGAAGTAAAGGTATTTACATAAAGTAAATAATAATAGTGACAGAACTATAAGGTCTGGGTCTATCTTTCTATTAAAAAAAGTAAATATCTGTGGTTTTCTACGCTTGTACCTCAAATACAGTCTGTTACAATTTAAATATAATAAATTAATTTGAGGGTTTCATTCATAGTGTTTGTTCAATGAGGATCAGTAACATTAAAGCAACTTGTCATTGATTAATCTTATAATAATAATAATATATATCATTTTTAAAACGTTATTAATTCACAATTTAGTTCATAAAATGTCCCCCCTGAGAACCCACGGTGACAACTTACTGGTTGTATGTGCTGTTGATTATTAATGATAAATTAATGTCTTGATTATCATTGTTTTTAGTTTGTTAAATCTTGTTAAAACTCCAGATAACCTACGTAATAACTATTTAACGTTAAAGTAGTTTCCCAGATATTGGTTTTAATTTGCGTATTTCATGCATTTGTTATGTGTCTGTGTGACAGAACAGAGCATTCATGTACACTTTAAAAATTTCTCTGTAATCAGACTTTGGCTCATGAATTCTCGTTAATGTTTGAAGTGAACCACTAAAAGTAATTTCTTCTTTAAGATGCAGCCTAGATTGAGAGTCTGATGCTTGAACCACGACATAATATCTTGATATAAGACGTTAGAAAGCCCTTCTTCCATACGTAACGTTATATCGCAACACCACGAGGTTCATGTACCACGAAATTAATGTAAAATATTAATGACACATTTATGGATCATAGTTTGTCATTCTGTCAAATCATACAGAACATTTAATACGTGATATTTTATTTATAGTAAACAGCACATTTGAGTTGGTTTAATGGTTATTGTGAATATGTAACATATACATAAATGCATGTTTTATTTTAACATTGTTTTTTAAAGGATTTTGAATCTGGGTGAAAATGACAAATAAATTTGAATAAAATACTTTTGTTTTGTTCTTTCAGGCGATGTCGGTGATCGGAGACCGAAGATCACGAGAACAGAAAGCCAAACAAGAGAGGTGAGATCATGACGAGCAGCAGGTTGAGGATCACGTTATAATGATGTAACCGTTGGTTCTGTGTCGTTGTTTCAGAGAGAAAGAGTTGGCCAAAGTCACCATCAAGAAAGAGGACGTGGAACTAATTGTACGTTTTTCATTTAATCGCACGTTTTACCATTTATTCATGGTAATTATAGTTATTTTACCAAACAATGAAATGATGTACATTAAGGGTATTTTTGCACACATAACAAGTTTGTTTGATTACTAAATGAGTTGTAAACAACTATTAAGTATTATTAGTGTGTATATGTATATAGATGTATGCTGGAGCATTGATGGGTCCACAGACTGTCAAGCAGCAGCGTTGATTTTAATCCAACTACATCCGACTTATCGGTTGCATTTGTCAGAAATCTTTATTTCTAATAAAGTTCATTTAAAGTACTTTAAAGACTCGACCCACTAAACCACCATTTTAATCTCTCGTGTTACCGTTGAGTCCATTGTATTGTGATGGATTGAAGTAAACGTTGAACTCTTTAAACAATCAGTTTACAAACTCAATAATCCAAGTCTCATTATTCAGTCCAAGGCTTCTTCGCTAAAACATTACTATTCAACACGCTTGTGTGTAAACAGTCGAGTGTTTTTAAATGGTGATGTTTGAGAGAAGATGCATTCGACTGAATAATGAGGCCGAGTTTACGTGAGAGTTTGTAAAAAGATGTTGATAGTTTTCTTCTTAAACTCAGACTTTACAGTGTTTGGATCGAAGGTAACAAGAGGTGATGCATTATGTAAGAGGTCATGCAGTGGGTGAGGTTTTCCTTCTGAAGCTGTAATTGGATTACGTTTTAACGGTTGATGTTCTGATGTTGCAGATGTCAGAGATGGAGATCTCGAGGTCGGTGGCGGAGCGCAGTCTGAGGGAACACATGGGGAACGTGGTGGAGGCGCTGGTGGCTCTGACCAACTGAACAAATCACTCTCACCAGAACGCATCAACACAACGAGGCTCAACTGTTATCTTTTCTCTGTTTTTAAATAAAAGTTGACCTGCCTCACGTCTGATTTAAAGTTGTAATGCTTATTTTGCTGTCAGTGGGAAAGTAAAATAAAAAATATGAAAATACAAGTTTTATTTAACACAAATTAGAAACAATAATGCAGGAAATCAGAACAATAATCTGCAACAGAACTGTTGTTACTAGTTGGTTTGTACAGAATTACAACCTCCTGCTTTAAAAGACAAAACACAGCAGGAGGTTTAATCTGTTCCTTTTCTTCAGCCACGTTAAAGTGATATTCTGCCTCTGAACAGAAGCCGGCGTTAAATCAAGTTCGTTTAAAAAGATGGTTTCCTGCTTTCCTTCCACAACATGAAGTCCAGTCGAGCGACTCTGCCGGTCTCGGGAACAAGTCTCTGAACTCCGATGGAGTCCGTCTCACGCGTCTAAGTCTTCCTCTTCTTCACGGTGGGCCGGTCGAACACGTCCCTCACGCCCGCCGCCTTCTGCTTGAAGAACTTGCTGTTCTGAGCGCTCTCCTGGGCCCAGGCCGAGTCGAAGGACGTGGTGTCCTGGTCCACCAGGTGGGTGTACTTGGTGCGTCCGGAACGGCCGAAGTTCTTCACCTTGTGACGGGAAACAAACGGGTCGGATCAGAACACCGAAGGACTTCACCTTCATTTGAACGCTGGTACATTTCTCCACATTAACCCATGAAAGTAAACGTTTACTTTCATTTGTTGAGTTTGGTATCAGAGTTGTTGTTCGCTTCAACACGATATGAAAACAAGCGGTTTTTAATAACTGCTGAACAGTCCGGTGTGTAACAGGTGAAATGTGAGGACGGAGCCGCTCACCTGCATGACTTTGGGTAAGATGGTTTTGTTGAAGTGATCCTCCAGAGTAGGAGCGCTGAAGTCTCTCTTGTACACGTTCTCCTCCTCATCCTGGAACACAGATCACAACACATCAGATCACAACACATCAGACTTCAGGAGAAACTGTTCACCAACATCTGTGCTGAGCGGTGCTCTCTGGTGGAGAAATTCAATGACTTATTTATCTTCTAACATTTCTGGACTATAATGTCTATCAAACATATACGCTGATATATGTGTGTATATATATATTTATTACTGTAATTATTTGTACTCATGGACTATTTTATTGCCTTCATACAAACCCTGTAAAGAAACAAGTTAAGTATTAAATGTATTATAAAGAAACAAAGGTTGAATATCCTGTAAACTATTGAATTATATTTACTCAATAGATTTTGAAGACCTTTGTTTCTAAAGCATCTAAAAAGTATTTTTTAAATGTTTAGAGAACTTTTGTTAGTCACAGTCATGTCTGAAGACCTCTGAGTGTGCGTTGTTACTAAAGTAAAGACAAAGCCCGACACTTATTAAACGTCTCCCTCTTTGCTTGAGTGGTGTGGAAACGTCTCCAACACTCACCATGAAGAACGCTCCTCTGTGGTAGTACTTCTGGAGGAACTTGTATTTGCCTTTGCTGGCTTTGTTGGTGACTTGCTTGCCGCTGTTGCGGAGCTCGGCGCGGCGCTCCTCCTCCGTCAAGTTGTGGAATCTCTCGATTTCCGCCTTCTCCTTCTCCATGCTGAGGACAAAACGCCGACACGTCAGCTTCATTTCATCACACAGCGAAGTCCTTTCAGAGCGTCACATCTGCATTTAGATTCATTTACTCACACTTCCCGGACCTCTCGGTCCCTCTTGATGCGTTTCAGCTCCCTGACCTTCCAGCCTTCGTACTCCTCCTCCTCGTTCTCGCCGTCCGTGTCCAGAGCGTCCAGAGCGGCCAGCGTGCGCCGGTTCTCCTCGAACTCCTTCTTGGCCTCCTCCTCCACGATCTTGAGGGTGTAGCGCCGTCGCTCCTCCACCTGCTTCTTGGCCTCGGCCTCCAGCTCTCGTTGCTTCAGCTCCTCCGCCTCGCGCTCCGCCACTGTGACTCTGTCCTTTCTGTGGAGGACACAGAGAAACTTCCTCATCTGTGTGTCATGATCTTCCTCTATGGTTTAAACATTTCTATCTATTGTTACATGCTAAGAATTAGTCAGTTCACACTTCTTTTTTTATATTTAAAATAGATTTTAATACGTTGCATTTCTTGCATAAAAGGTGCTATAGTAATAAAGTTAATTTTTATTATCTTGAGAAATATCCAATTACTTGTCACCAGACACTTATTAACATGCAGCCAATCAATCAGCTGCTAGAAGCTGATTGATTGGATGCATGTCGATCAGTTTGTGATGTTTAGTGAAATATGTTCATTGCAAACAAAAGGAAATCAAAACCGCGTTATTGGGACCTTTAGCTTCACTGCACAGCTTGCTAGATGTTAACAATACAGTCGCCTAACCCTAACCCCACTGGATGTCTATGGAATCATGAACATTTCGTTTAATCCCATAGACCTTCAACAACTGAACAAAGATAGATTAATATTGTTTTGGTGTCCAAAGGCTTTTTATGAATTTCTGACTCTCCAGACTACCGTTTCTCTCGATTATTTATTTACAGACATTGACGATGTGAGATGGAACAGTCTTTGTTGTAAACTTGGATCGGTGCTGAACCCTTAAGGCTCCAGGTAGGAGGGGAGGAAACAGTCCTTACTTGCGGATGAAGACTGGTTTGAGCCGTGGCTCTGCTTCGTCCTCGCTGTCGGTGTACTCTTCGTATTCAGACTCGGACTCAGATTCCGCCCCCGACTTCCCCTCCTCCTCCACCTCCATGACCTCCATGTCCTCATTCTTCCGTTCAGTCGCTCGCTGGCGCATCATCGATCGCCTCCTCTCGATTTCCTGCACAGGAAGAGAAAGAAAAACTTTTCTTAATATAACTTGTCCTGACTGGGACAAGCAGAACACAAAGACAGTAACCTACCTCATCATCCACTTCCTCCTCTTCCTCCTCCTCTTCATCACTGGTCTCCTCATGGTGCTCTGGGTGCCACGTGCCTTCATCAGAGTCCTCGCTGCTCTCGGCCACAACTTCAGGCTCCGCGATCTGTCTGTGTCTCGCCAGCCTGAGGACAAACAGACGGGACACAGCGTGGTGACATTAGCATTTCAGCACTCAGCGTTTAACGATCACATCAGTCGCCTGAAGCGATCCGTTACCTCTCCTCCACGTCCTCGGAGACGCGGTTGAGCAAACGTTTGAGACGTGGGTCAGAGACATCCTCCTCCTCCAGCTCTACCTCCGCCTCCAATTCCTTTCCCTTTTTCACGAACTGGAAGTCCTCGTCCTCCTCGTCGGACGACTCCATTGGCGCGTAGTCGGGACGTTTACCCGACACGTACCGCTTCACCTTCACCTTCTCCATGGAGAGCTCACCTGGAATGTACAGAGACGAGGACGAGCTGTGAAGACAAGCTCTCACACCAGTGATGCTGATGGTCTAGATGTATCTAGACCTTCATTAGGAGTAGCTCACTAACTTTGCCAAGTTCATAATACTCAGAGTCAGAATTCAGTCATAACTCTTCAAATACTTTTATTCCCTTTTTGGATTCCCTTTTAGGGTTTTAGAAGCCAATACTAAAACCTCTTAAGAGATGTTGACATTAGTCGAATAAAAATAATCTGCAACGATTTTGACGATCAATCCAATGCCAAAAATATTAGCTGGAACCTAAAAACAGTGAGGACTTGCTGCATTTCATATCATTGTAAATGTAATTATCTTTGGATTTTGAATAGCATGTACTTCAAAATCACAGTGGGCTCTGGGAAAATAATATCGTTAGATTTATAACGAATATTTATATTCGTTATAAATCCAGTATTTTTCTGCCGGTACCAGCTCAGAATCACAAACAGTGTTTTTGACAGGAATTTGTGTTGGTGATTTGGTGCATAACAACAAACACAGTGCAAAAGTAAAACATCATATTAAACCCTATAAAAAAAATCGAGAAATGCATAAAAATAAATGTACAGCTTAGTGCAGGAATGTGCTAAATATTGTCTCGATGCTTAATTTAATCTAGCTTTTATTGGGATACTTCAAATAGGAATAGCTAACTTTGTATGTTTATAATGTTACATTGATGACAGGAAGGCTGTTGTGTTGTTGTCGTTGGAAAGTATGTGTTTTTATCTATGAGGTGGACATCCAAACATCACACACACACACACACACACACACACACACACACACACATATGTGACTAGTGTTTACACGTCTTATTCCCAAACAATGCTGGAACTGCGTCTACATTAATTTGCTTGCCTACCTACCTACCTACCTACCTACCCACCTATCTATCTAACGTTATCTATCTATCTAATTTTCAGACCGATTATTGGTGTTGTTTACGCTAAGCTAGCTGGCTAACAACTTAGCACGCAGCTAGCCGCCTGCTAGCTAACCGCCGCTGTTACCTTTCTCGTTCCGGACCGGCACGGCTCCGGCCGTGGACTGGATCGGAGGAAGCTTCATGTTGAGGGCTTCGCGACTAGACATGGCTGCCTGGTCGACGGTATCAACCGAATAAAAGTAAAAAATATGTATTTCACGCCTACAAAATGAACTAGTCGCTGCTTTAGTCAAACGGAAGTTAAGCTAACTCGCTGAAGAGCAAGCGGACCGGAAGTGGATTTGTTCCGACGTACACTTCCGCCCAAAAAAAAACATAATAATTAACACAAAAATCACTTCTAACTGACTTTTTATACCACTTATGTACTACAGTTTACAAGATATCGTCAGCTAAAAATTACTTCGAAAATAGACTTAAAGAGAAGATTAAAGCTAAATGTAGATATTCTGCAATTCAAGAGCATAATAGCGCCCTCTAGTAGCTGATATCACACATAGATAGACAGACAGACAGACAGACAGATAGACCGATAGATAGATATATAGATAAAATGTCCCCTGTGACTATCATACTGTTATATCTTTATATTAGTATTACTCGATCCTCGCTCCTCAGAGCAGAAATAAGAGCTTTGGGACGGCCGTCAGTATGACGGCGCAGAACAACTTCCGGTTCGAGCGAGGATCGATGAGCGAGGAAATGATCCAACCGGAAGTTGTTGAAGAGCGAGGAAATGAGGAAATGACAATTAAGAGACTTGGGCCAAATCCCAATGTCCCCCCTAAACCCTCAAGGACTTACTGACGTCACCTGGTAAGTGGGTGAGTGTGAGAGACTGTGAGGGCTTGAGATGGTGGAAATAGGAATGGGACAGCACTTTGCTGCAACATATCACGTTACCATGAAAACGACAAAAAATATGATGTATAATTGTGTGTATTTATTTTATACTTTGTACTCCCTGATTTGAAAGTCTTCAGGCTCTTTCCTCACAAGATGAGGTAACTTCATATAATCTATTTACTCGTTTTTGTCAAAACAGCTTCAATGACAAAATCAAATATTTGATGAATAAATAAATAAATATCTTCTGATTTCAAGTTTATTTTTTGTTCCATCTTTAACCCTTAATGTTTCTGAGCAAATGTAATACTCCAGGCTGAACACAGGTGAGCCGTCCTCTTTGTTTACCTTTTTCTTTTACGTCTCCATGCGTCCACTGGTTACCCCGTGTTTAACGTCACATTGCAATGATTTGTGGGTAATTCCCTTAGGCTAAGTCAGCATACCATGCTGACTTACGGAAAGGGTTCATAAAGGGCTCAAAATGTCTGCAAGAGCCCTCAAACACTTGATGTGACAGTGGGACATCCCTAAACCCTCACGGACTTCGCGGGAGCGCGCCTCAAAGTCCGTGAGTCTGTAAGGGGGGACATTGGGATTGGGCCTTGGGATGTACCCTAGGGGTCTCTTATTTGTCATTTCCTCGATTCCTCGATTCTGGTTGAACCGGTTTCAACCGGAAGCGATTCAAACGATCCGGAAGTTGGAAATTACGTCTTATGAGGAAATGACAATTAAGAGACTTGGGATGTACCCCTACATTTGTGAAGCCAACCATGAACTGTTTTTACACGAAATATTACTTCAACAATTATCAGAGTAGTTGCCAATTCATTTTCTGTCAATTTATTAACTAATGGTTTCAGCTCTACTTGAACATTCCCATGTTTTGAGTGCAATATATTGCAATATTTCCCTCTGAAATGTAGTGGAGTTGAAGTATAAAGTGAAAGAGTGAGAGGAAAATATTCATGTAAAGTACAAGTACCTCAAAGTATTTGAGTAAACATACTTAGTTACATTCCACCCCTTTAGGTAGATAGATGGATAGGAACATAACTACTGATACTAATACTCCTAAAAACTCAATTCAACTACACAGACAAAATGTGAAAACAGAAATTAAAAACCAGTGACCACACAGATGTAAACGATATGATTTATTTCTATAATTTACAAATGAAAAAGTATCTCCTTTGTAATTGGAGCGGTGTGCTCTCCGCTGTGTTGTCAGAGCTGGACCCCTCTCTGTCTGAACAGCTCCTCCAGCTTCTGCTCCAGCACAGAGTTGGTTCCTCTCAGGCCTCTCACCACCTCACGGGCCCAAACAAAGTACTCCTGCACCCGCTCGGCTGTCCAGCCTGTAAAAAACACAAACACACACACACACACACACACACACACACACACACACAGAGGGAAGAAGTATGGTGACTAGGTAAGTACACGGTCAAGTATTGGTACTTATGTACTTCTATAGTGGAAACACACTTGTCATGTTACAGTTATACTCTTTATCCGACAGCTGTAGTGTCCTTAGAGAGTCCATGAAGTATTTATTAACAGTCAGACACGTCTATAACACAACTCTCTGAAAGGAAACACCACTACCAAACTATTACTTTTATTTCTGTGACTTGGGTACACTTTACTGTGTGTACTCATAGACTGTATATAAGAAGTGGACGTAGTCATCGTGACGTCACTCATTGGTTTGTGGACTCATGTTATGAAGCCTTGAATTCGGCGATTTCGTCATCGCCATCTTGGATTACAGTCGTCGCTATCTTGTTGTTCTTTGCAACCGGTGAACTGAAGTGACCATATCTGGACTGAGGAGGAGTGACGTAGAGACTCCGTATACGTCTCTGGTAGAGACCTGTCAATCACAGTGTAGCCCCGCCCTAAAGCATCCCCTGGTTTATGGTCTGTTTGACTCTAAATGGACCATAATGTACTAAATGAACATCATGCTGTATTGAAGAAGACTTGAAACTAGAGATTGAGACCATAAACTCATGTTTACAATGTTTACTGATGTAATAAATCAAGAGAGAAGTAGAGTCATTTTCTCATAGACTTCTATACAACCAGAGGAGTCGCCCCCTGGTGGACATTAGAGAGAATGCAGCTTTAAGAGACACTTCAGGCTTTACTTCAATATTCAGACGTTGCCACCTAGTTAGCGCAAATAGCATTGTTGAATACGGACACCTGGGTGCTAATAGCAGTTGCCTTGTTTTGACACAATGAACAAATAGAAAAAGAAAACTTAAATTAACACTTCGGTTACAGTATAAGAGCAGTGAGAGTGACAGAGAGGTGCTGACCGGCTGGTGTGCTGCGGTTTAAGTCCCTCAGATTGTACAGTTTATCTGCCAGTTTGACCAGTTTGGCTTGGCAGCTGCAATGCGCCGCGTGTTCCACCTGCTGACGCTTCCTCTCGTGTTTGGGCAGGCTTTTGTCGTCCGTCACCTCCTCAACGATACGAGCCACGATCGTCCCAAACGTCGCCTCGAGCTCTGCGAGAGAGGTGTCCGTGTCCTCCACTGTGTCGTGAAGCAGAGCGGCCTGCGGGGAAGACGAGACACCGGCTCAGTGACACAAAAAGCACCGGAGCTTCCCGACAAAGTCTCATACTCACTTGTAAAACCTCGATGTCTGCGACACCTCCTTCATGGCTGAGGATTCTCGCCACTCCTTAAAAACGTTTGAAACCAGAGAAACATTTTGACAGATATTTGATGTTAAAATACTCACATATTGATTTTCTTTTTTTTGACATTTGGCAAATAACAAATAAATAAACATTTAACTCAAGGACACAACTAGAAAACATGTATTTTTCATTTCACTAAGACTATAAAATCTGTTAAAAATACATCAGCGATAGAATATTTGTTTTTAACCATAAACAATCTCAAAACACATCCCTTGGATTATTTTATTTTTAATAATTGAGACCAGCGATATTTTACGGTTGCAAAATAAATAAACGTATCTCTGGTTGATATAATGGAAACATTGTTTCTAAACTAACTCATACCTATCGATATTTATTTGTGTTACTTATACATCGATGCTGATATATCCTTAATCATCTAATATTAGCCAATTTATAGTACGAGCTTCAATAACCACTGTGAAAATGATTAAATTCTTAGATTGTATTCTCCCTCCTTCTAATACCTCAGCAAGTGTCAAGTATCACAGCTTCACACAGAGTTCAGCATCAGAAATCATTTTACAATCCAGCGGTGGAAGAAATACTCTTTACTTTTAGTAGAAGTTGTGATACTGCAGTGTAGAAATACTCTGTTACAAGTAAAAGTCCTACATTAAAAATATTACTGAAATAAAAGTACAAAAGTATTAGCATCAACAAATACTTAACACACCAAAAGTGAAAGCACTCATCACACAAAATGGCCAATATTAAAATAATATTTATTATATTATTTTACTTTAATCATTGATGGATAAATAAACACCTTAATGCTGTAGTTTGTAAAGGCGGAGCTACTTTAATTGCTTTATATATAATGCCATGTATACCTCATCTTATCTATAAAAAGAATTCAGAACTTATTTGATTATATTTTGTATTATTGAACCTGTCTTAACTAATAATAATACATGTTCAACAAATACAATATGCCCCTCAGCAATGTAGTGGAGTAGACATACAAAGTAGGAGGAAATAAAGTACAATATATATTTAATATTTGTATATTAAATAACATTATTTTTAATAATATTTGTATATAAAATAATATTTTATGATATTTCATATAATACTTGAGTAAATACACTTTAAAGTTACTTTCCACCACTGTTATTATTGTTGACTTCTGCAGCGTTGGATTGAGAGATTCCCGAGCAGCACCTGAAGGCATCACAACAAAGAGTCCTACCGAGCAGCACCTGAAGGCATCACAACAAAGAGTCCTACCGATGGGGTGATTAATGTACGGGGTTTCCTCTGGATCTTTACGTCGCTGGTTACGATGTTTCTCTGCCGCGAAGTTAACCGTCTCTAACAATAAAACTGCATCTGAATTCATGGTGGAAAAACAAAGAAGTAGCGACAGGAACCAGCTGTGACTGGACTTCAACCTCGTTCCTTTTTCTTTTTTAACCAATGGTGTAGCAGTCCGTCCCTTATGTTGGTCCGGGTGGAAACAGCAGCTGGTTGTCTGTTCCGCTTTTTTTAGCTACGGAAGCAGCAGGTTAGCTTTTACTATCAGTTTAACTCCCCCCCCACCCCCTTTTTTAATGTTTTGACAGATATTTGGTGCTTGATTTCTGCTGTTTATTGGATAATTTTGTATAACTGTCAGCTCTTTGCCGTTCGTCTTTAAACATGTACTGTGATGTTAAGGATGTGTTTTTAGCCTACAAGCTAACGCTAGCTAGGTCAATCACAGCATATATATTATGTGTTTCCATTGGTTGTAGTCTCTCTGTCATTACATGTTTTGTCATATGAGTATTGTGTTCTGTGTTCATTGGATGTGTGGTTATTGTTGTGGCCCAGCATGGCTCACAGTTCCAGGAGAGACTGTCCGGAGCTCCCAGACTTCTCTCTGCTCAAGAGGCTGGCCAGAGATCAGCTCATCTACCTGCTGGAACAGGTAGGACAATATGTCGCAATGTGTCCGTTATTGGTTTGGTTTGGCAGACTGCCATCTTGCTCCAACGGCAGACTCACCACCAACAATGTATGCATGTAAAGATAAAATGAAGAAGAATCTACTGCACAGCTACTGCACTGCTGACACACCCCATTTGTCATTAGGTGTTGGTCAGAGGAAACGGTTTGCTTTCTTCTTTAAAGTCTAGTGACATGACTAAAAAACAAGTTTAGCCTGTATATCCAAAACCCTGATGTGCCATAGAGCTGCATTTAAAAACACATCAGCACTGGGTGACAACTCAAACTGAGGCTTCAGAGGTTAAGTGTTTTCGTGGGATTTGTCGACAATACGAAAAATATGACACTGACAAAATAACAAGTATTAAAAGTGTTCTACATATAATTAGTGTACAAAGTGTACGTGCTCTGCCCCATCCATCCATCCATCCATTTTCCTCCGCTTATCCGGGGTCGGGTCGCGGTGGCAGCAGGCCAAGCAGGCTGACCCAGATCTCCCTTTCACCGGCAACATGTTCCAGCTCATTCTGGGGGATCCCGAGGCGTTCCCAGGCCAGCTGGGAGATGTAGTCTCTCCAGCGTGTTCTGGGTCTTCCCCGGGGTCTCTTCCCAGTTGGACGTGCCTGGAAAACCTCCAGTGGGAGGCGTCCAGGAGGCATCCTAATTAGATGCCCGAACCACCTCAGCTGACTCCTTTCGAAGCGTGGGTGCTCTGCCCCACGCTTGGTTAAGGCTGGAGATAATTCATTTTAATAGGCAGAGAATCCTGTTTGAAAGCACATTGCTTCTTCCTCTCTTTGTCACACAGCTGCCGGGGAAGAAGGACCTCTTCATCGAGGCGGACTTGATGAGCCCGCTGGATCGAATCGCCAATGTGTCGATACTAAAGGTGAACCTCATCAGCTGACTCTTGATTAAGAAGCTCTTGAGTTCAAATATCTTTTTCAAACATTTTGTCCCTTTTTTTTCCAGCAACATGAAGTCGACAAACTCTACAAAGTGGAATACAAACCTGTTGTCAGCACCTCAGACCAGTGAGCCCTGCACCCTTCATAGTCCTAACAATAGTTCAACACACACACACACACACACACACACACACACACACACACACACGTCTGATGATGACTGCGTGATAACGAGGCTTTACTCTCCTACAGGCTCTGTTTTCTGATCCGGCCAAGAATACAAACTGTCAAATGGATATGTGGTGAGTAGGGCTGCAGGCTCGTAGTCCGTTAGTCCACTAGTCGGCCGCTGTTGGTAATGTCTTTTGTCTTTATTTGTGCTTTTTTTTTCCGCTGAATGACTTATTTCTTAGAAACTAGTGAGCACAAGATTTAAAGTGTTGCTTTTGTGTGATTCTTTCTGGAGAAAATGTCTTTAGTCAAAAATGACTCCTGTAAGTAGAGTGTGATGTTTTCTTTCTTTAATGAAGGCTCAATGACAGTTTAACAGGAACAATAATACTCTTTAATCAGTCTTAGTGTGTGTGTGTGTGTGCGCACGCATATTTATGTAATAATAATAGATACAACTTTATTTATACTTCTTTTTTAAATCAAAGTTACAAAGTGCTTTAGATGGTTGAAGCGGGAACAAAAAACACTTCAGGATGAAATGAAAGAATACGATATTTATTGTTTCTTTACTTCAGCCGAAGTGAAAACACCAAACCCTGGAGATCGATGCGTTGGCATTGAATGTCACATTCATAATCGTATTCATCGTATCAAACAAACGTCCCACGATTCCCAGCCCGACAAACATGCAGTGACGTCATCATAGCAACGAGCCTCTTAAATGATGTCATGCTGTGATGCTTCTTGTTCCAGATGTGGCCAATGCAGACAAGGCAGTGGGGAGATTTAGAAGATACAAGATCATCTTCACTCCTCAGAAGGTATTTCCCTCCTTTGCTGTTGTGCACACACTCTGTTTGATTCATCTTGGAGTAAGTTCTGAATGAATTGACGAACCCGTCTGTTGCCCCTCCTGCGGTCCAGTTCTTTGCATGTGAGGCGGTGCTGGAGGAGCAGGGGATCTTTGGTGGTGAGCGTCTTCATTTCTTTACTCTCACTGCCTTCCAAATCACATACTTTGTGTTTCTTTTTGCTTCTAGTACATACATTTCTCGCTGTATACTTACACACACATATATGTACAGTAAACACACACACATACAGTGTACAGTAAACACACATACAGTGTACAGTAAACACACACACATACAGTGTACAGTAAACACACACATATATACAGTGTACAGTAAACACACATACAGTGTACAGTAAATGGCAATAAAAGAGGTGAATGAAGAGGAGTCTTATTTTGTTTTCTGTGGTGTTTTTATGGGAATGTGGATCTTGTTGATCCTGAATGTGTTCTACAGTGTTGGACTCAGCTCGGTCTCAAACACTCTGGTCGTGGTCGTGATCGTGATCGGTTGAGGTGGTTTTGACTACAACACTGATGAAAAATCATAAAAGTGAATGTTGTAAAAGAAAACCTCCAGCTGTTAAATGCTGATCAAACCTCCACAATGCTTTATGAATCTACTTGCAGTAACACTGATACTATGTAAAATGAATTCTTTTCCAAAATGAAAAGAGAATAATGATAAAAACGTGTTTTTGTCCCACAGAAGTGACCACCGACGAGTGGTCTTTCTATCTGCTTCCTCTCGACGAGGACATCATCAGTCTGGAGCTGCCGGAGTTTTTCAGAGACAACTTCCTGGTAAATAACCACGACGTCAAGTCGATAGATCGTTGAGCCAGTTAACTCGAGGCATATTTTATGTTCTTTATTTGTTTGATGAGGTCGTTTGCACATAAATCACTCTCAGTGCAACAAACAGAATCATATAATAATAAAAATAATAATAATAATGGCTCAAGCGTCAGGGAAAAGGAAACCACTGTTTGTTATGCATTGACTATAATATGAATTATCCATAACATACATCACAGAGTCTGGGGTAACAGAGTTTGCTATATATTCATGTGAGTCAATCAAAAACAATCTGAATTGTGCTGCACATTGTGATCCAAATTACACGAACGATTATTTACACTACGACTCCGTAGAAAGAAAATTGTGAATAAAAGGTGACAAGTTGTGATTTATTAACCGATGGATCATTTATATTTTGTGTAAGTAAGTAAAATGTAGCTCAGGTGCTTCAGGTTGTCCTTCGTCACACAGGCGGGGGACCAGCGCTGGGTCAGAACAGCCGGCAGCGCTCTGCACCTCCTCCACTCCCTCTACGGCCCCTTCTCAAAGGTCTACGGGATCGGACGATGTTCCAAGGTGCGGTATGATCGGAGACCAAAACACCCGTCACATCAGATCCTCCACGGCGCTTCTGGCTTCACCTGCGATAACGTTTCTGCTTCTGTCTGGTACCAGATGGCGTACGAGTCGTGGAGGGAGCAGGTGGAACAGGGAGAACAAAGAGCTCAGCAAGCTGAAATAGGAAAGGTTTTTCTCATCGACAGAGGTGAGAACACATGGGTCCTTAAAGGTGCAGTATACCAGATTCAGAGTGTTAATATAGCAGCATGTGTGAAGATAAAGAGACCTGTCAATCACTGTATAGCCCCGCCCTAAAGCATCCCCTGC